TATATATATATATATATACACACACACACATACATTTACACTGCTGTGCCCCCCAAAAATTATTTTGGTACAAAATACTTACAATACCATGGTGATAGTGTTCCTTATAGTGTACTTTCTCTATCAGGGCTATTCACAAAAGGTTGAAGACAGAAGTGAACAATCTGGGACAACATAGCCAAACTGGAAAGTCCTGTCTTATCCAAACTCTTCACCCTTTTGGGCATAACCCTGTAAGTGCCCTTGCTTTATTTGGGGACTATAATACAAGCATAACAGTCTGGACCATCCTGTAATGGGAAAACAGTATAGAAACAAAGAAGACTCCTGCTTAAACTTACAGGGAAGTCTTTCCTCAAGTAAGAAGATGCATATACAGGTGAAACTCGAATAATTAGAATATCGTGCAAAAGTAATTGCAGTAAGTGCTGCAAAAGGGGCCCAAACCAAGTACTGAGTACATATGCATGCTTGTACTTTTCAGAGGTCCGATATTGTTCTATGTACAATCCTTGTTTTATTGATTGCATGTAATAATCTACTTTTTTGAGGTTGTGGATTTGGGGTTCTTGGGGTTTTCATGAGCTGTAAGCCACAATCATCACAATTATGACAAATCACGGCTTGAATTATCTTGCTTTGCATGTAATGAGTCTATCTCATATATTAGTTTCACCTTTTAAGTTGCATTAGGGAAATAAATTAACTTTGCACAATATTCTAATTATTCGAGTTTCACCTGTATTGTAACTACACTTCTGTTGAGGATGCATCACAGAGAGTGAAGGGATGCCTGTATGCTATTTGTGGAACCCAAGACAACGATACAGCTGAATACAGCTTTACAACACTGCTCTAAAGTGTATACATTGAGGAATGCAAGCACTTTGTATGATCAGCTACAGTGCTATTTATTCTACACGTTGTTCCACAGGATTTAGGAGCTCAGTGTGATCCATCAGAGAGGCTGATGCTTACCCAGCGAGACAGTGAAGTTCCTTTTTAGGAATTTTGCCACTTCTGAGCTTGATGACAGTACCAGTTTTGCAGAACACTCTGTTGGTGCGCACATATATACCGAAATGCTTGGATTACCTCTTCACTGCTAGAGAGTTACAGCAGTATTATTTGCTAATAAATGTTATGTTTATATCTCTCCTTATGCCTCCTTTCCAGTGGGGAAATGTGTTTGAACTTCACTGTGATATCTGTTCAGGACTTGGGACCCATTTGAGGACAGCGGTCCTTGTGGGTTTAGGCAGGGGGTTCCTTTGGTTCTATACATGCATTTTTTACCGTGTACACATTATGCAATGTTTTAGACTATTGTTGTGCGTTTACGATAGTCTCCAATTGTATGGGACACAGAGTGGTCCTCATAATTTATTGGGTATTACAATGGCAATTTAACTACTTTGAACCATTAAATAACCTGACAGCTCTGTCATTGTATATATTTTTTATTTTTGTTATACTTTCAGTTTATTCTGCTGCAGGGTCTGTTGTTGTATATTATGCAGGTTTAGTACTGGGTCAGATCTGTCAGTCACAAACTGCATACCCTATATTCATATGCAGTCTGATACAAGACTTGTATTTTGGAAAACTAATACCCATGTATTTTGCCAACACCAACCATCTTTCTTCTTTTGCGCCAGAATTGTGACTTCTTCTCCTTTTGGTAGGTCAAGCAGGAAAAGGACAGCTTCCTCGCGGATAATGTTCGTGAAGTCCACATTGTTTACCTAAAAGGAACACAATATGCATTTTAAAGGGCAATTAAAATGTTTAGGGCTGCAACCAACTAGCTCTCTTCTCCACCCTGGGAGGAGGGCACAGCAAGCAGTGTGTGGGTACAATAGCCAGCCTGCTATTGCAATTTGAAATGGCCAATAGCAGACTGGCTATTACACCATACCACTACCTACTGTATTTACATTCAGCTGCCGCCTTAGGAATCTTGCCACTGGCAGCTGTCATTCCCTGGCTCAAGCTATTCAACCGCCATGTGCTTACAATACAATAAAACGTTTTTTTTTTTTAAAATACAATTATAAAAAAGGAGAGAGGAAAAAAAAAAAAGACGTTTTCGGTTTTGTCCTGACAAATTCTGCTGCGTGAGGTGCGTTGCAGTGCCATTCATTTCGATGGCACCCCAAACATGCCTCCCACCCACAGTGTGATCGCCTGCACTGGAATGCACGGTACCGCAATGCTGTGCTTTCCAGTGCAAAGCGATTGCAAATAAATTGTGCATGCAGTTTTATTCTGAAGTAAACTTTATGTTTGTAACACTGCATTGGTGTATTTTATTTTAAATTAAGGATGATATTTTTTTTTTTTTATCCAATTAATCGAAAAAAAATAAAAAAATCGGCCAACTAATCGATTATGAAAATAATCATTAGTTGCCGCCCTAAAAATGTTAGGCATTCAATAAAAGGGGGTTTATAGACATGGATAAAGATAATACAACTTCTTACACTCTTATGAAATAATTTTGTACTTAAATTCATCAACCGTCATGAACAGACAACCGTACATAGAAATGTGTTACACTCTTTGCTGCTTATACAGTATTCCTCAAGGAAAACTAAAGAATGATTATGTCAACAAGCAAAAACTTTTGCTCCCACCAACAGAAAGTCATCAGTCTTGACTATAAGTACACAAAGTAGCTATTTTGCACCAACATCCAGGTAAAAAGAAGTAACCAGAGAAGATTATAGGAAGGGGATCACATCATGAGCATACATTTACTACCCATGTTCCTGTAAAATCAGCAGGAACACAGGCAGGAAATCCAGCATTGTGGGAAAAAAGTCAACAAGATTGCTAGCATTAACCATTTGAGTACTAACCTATATGTATAGCCCTTCATAACCATGCCATTTTTCATCGATGTAATAGCTTTATTGACAATTACTCCGTAATACAATACTGTACCCAAGTTAATTTTATATAATTGTTTGGGACTTGGAGCTTTCTTTTGGTGGTATTTAATAACCAAAATGTGTTTTTTAATTTGTTGCTATGTAAAAGGAAAAAAAAAAGACCCAAAATATC